AGAGCAGGCTGACCTGGGAGTCTATGGGGTCGGGGAGAGTCCTAGCTCTTATTTTTAAATTTTTAATAAATTTTAATAAGTACTGTAATTCATCAAATTATGACAGGATCAATATAAGATATGTACCTACTTTATACACTACTTCTTTTAAAATTACTTTATTTTGTGTGCATGTGTGTGGATCTATGTATGTTTTGAGGTCAGAGGACAACTTTGTGGGAGTCAGCTCTCACTTCGACCATGTGGATTCTAGATCTCAGGCAGGCAGACTTGGCAGCCAGTTCTCCACTCTGAGACATCTCAACAGATGCCCTTTGACATTTCTTGCTAACATGTTTCATTTTGTTTGTTTCCCAAAAAAGTTGGCATTAGACTTCAAGGATTAAGCAAGCAACAGTAACAAAATTTTATTTATTTACTTACTTATTTTATGTCTATTTTACTTATTTACTTATTATTTACATGAATTCGTGTTTTGCCTGCACGTTTGTCTGTGTTAGGGTGTTGGATCCATTGGAACTGGAGTTACAGACAGCTGAGAGCTGCCATGTGGGTGATGGGAATTGAATTAAGGACCTCAGGAATAGCAGCCAGTACACTTAACCTCTGAGCCATCTCTCTAGTCCCCCATAATTTTATAATAGTGTTTTGTGATTTACTTTTATGTCTGCCTTTTCTTTGAGGAAAAATAATTTTGGTTCTCCATATTCTGTAATAATAAAACTCCATTTTAAAGCAAAGTTTAAGTCTAAAAAATTACACAAATGAAAAATGCCATTCAAGTAAAGCACGTGTTGTATTTGGCATGTAAATATTTTATTGATATTAATACATCTGTGAAGAAAAAGACACTGTCATTGTCTGAGAAAGGGTGTTTTACATCAGAAATTAGCAAATGCTTTAAGGTGAATTATTTCTGTGTAAAACTGGTAAAGCATTAAAAGAAGTATTAAAGATATATACTAAAACCCAAACCAAAACTCTTTCCTAAAAGTAATTACATTAAAAAGATAATTGCAATAAAGTTTCTTTAAACTGTTGACTTTCTATGATTTTATTTATCAGTATAAAACTTAGTTCTTAAAACAGCCCCAATGTGAGATGGAGGAAGGACAGATATGAGAGCAAGGAAAGAGATATCTTGATTGAGGGAGCCATTATGAAGTTAGCAAGAAACCTGGCTCTAGAAAAATGCCCAAGAATCCACAGGGATGAGCCCAGCTGAGACCCTAAGCAATAGAGGAGAGGGTGTCTGAACTGACCTTACCCTGTAGTCAGACTGATGATTATCTGAAATATCATCATAGAACCTTCGTCCAACAACAGATGGGAACAGAGACAATGACCCACATCGGAGCACTGGACTGAACTCCCAAGATCCAGTTGAAGAGTGGAGGAAGTGAGAGTATGAGCAAGGAATTCAAGACCATGAGGGGGTCATCCAACTGAGACAGTTTGCCTGAGCTAATGGTAGCTCACCAACTCCAATTGGACTGGGAGTGAATGAGCATGGGAACAACCAAGCCCCTCTGAAGGGGGTTGACAGCTCGGGCAGACTGAGGGGCCACTGATAGTGACACTGAGATCTGTCTGTACTTGCATATACCGACTTCATGGGATCCTATTCTTTTTGGATGTAAACCTTGCTCAACCTAGATGTAGTAGGGAGGGCCTTGAACTTTCCACAGGGTGGGGTACATGACACTTCCTTAGGGTTGGAGGGTTGGGGGCAGGGTCTATGGAGGGAGAGAGAGGGGACTGGAAGGAGGGGAGGAAGTGGGAATTTGGATTGGTATTTTTTTAAGTAATAAAAAAAAAACAGCCACAATGCAAAAACAAATTAAAGCATGGGCTGTTGCAATTGAGGTGGAGGCTATTAGCAGCAAGCCTACCCACACCCCACTACTCCCACTACTCCTAGTACCAAAAGTGCTTCATGGAATGCCTAGCCTGGGGCTCTGAGTAAAATGATTCCTAAGTCACTATCCTAGACCCTATGGAGGGATGTTTATGCAAGACTACTTCAGTGAAAAAGAGTATGAGATAATATATCAAGACATCACAGCATAACTAGACTGCTTGTGTTTTGACTATAGCCAGTTATTTTAAGCAAACACTTATTTGATTAGTTGTCTGTACATTTGATTAGTTGTCTTACCCTTTTCTCCAGGCAACTACTGATGTAGTTCCATTGGATTATATGATCTCCAAGAGCTTCATTATATAAATTTTGCACATTCTACAAATATCTTTGGCATTTAGTTGTACATTAAATATCACAATATAACTCACAGATTTTAAACTAAGACAGTAACCTCTGACTCCTGCTATTACAAATCAGAACTGGATAAAATATATATTAAAACACTATCTCAAGACTTTACAAAGTGAATGCAACAGACAAATTGTAGCATGGACTCAAAAATTAAAGAATCACAGGACTAGAGAGATGGGTTTTGCAGTTAAGAGCACTAGCTGCTCTTTCAGAAAACCTGGGTTCAATTTTCAGCACCTACATGATGCTTTGTGAAACCATCTGCAACTCCAGTCCCAAGGGTCCAGTGCCCTTTTCTGGCCTCTGCAAACAGTGCGGGCACATGGTGCACTAACATACACACATAGAACATATAAAAAAGTGAGTTTTCCCTTTCCCTCTTTTCTCCTATGACTTTTCTTTAAGGGAAAAAATGAACTGCAGAGCTTCTTAGCAGCACTTATACAGGGTGTTAAAACTCTAAGAAGAAACTATCTCTCTGCACAGAACAGTAAAAAAAGATACTTCTTTTTTTTAAAAAAGTGAGCTGGAGAAGAGAATGACCCCAGAGACGAGTAAGAGTCTCCCAAAGCAACAAGTTACCTGTGAGTTGCGTATGCATGAGGTGGGCCTGAGGCAAGAAGCACTAACTTCAAGAACTGAACAAAGGCATCAACCTCTACACCTCTGCTCTTCTGAACCAGGTAACTCCATGTTCTGCTCTGTGCAACGTAAGATGTTTAACAACACTTCTGACCTCTACCCACTGCATGTCAATCTCCAGTGACTCCAGATCCCAAGGGACCGCACAAGCTGGACATATATATGGAGTGTGAGTGATGTATAGATACAAATTGACATTGATAAAGATCTGGAAAGGTAAGAAACCCTGTTTGCAGACAGGAATTTTAAAAATTTGCAGTCAAAAGCTAATATGATTGGTCATCTGCAAAAATAACAATAATCATTTAAAATAACACTTTTTAGGCTTTTACAAGACTCATACATACCTAAACAATGAATATTCAAAAAGTCCTAAACACAATAAAATGAGTCTAAAAATGAAGAATCTGTTAAAAGTGACTACCAAGATGACATATTTGTTAAGATGGTCAGACAAAGGCTTTCAAGCAAGTAAAATTGAACACATGAAACAAAAGAAGAAAAATAATTTATTTGGCAAAGGAATGCGATTATATAAAGAGAACAAAAGACGATGGAATCAAAATTACTTCTTTGAGGACTTTTTAAAAAATCCTGAAATGTATGTGGAACAACAATAAGCCTGCAATAGCAAAAGCCATCTCAAGCAAAAAGAAAAAGCAGAAGGATAACTTTAAAATATATTACACAGTCATAGTTATCAAAGTAACACAGTACTACCACAGAATAGGCACATAGATTGTGATGGTTACTGTCATCAATTTGACAGAATGCATAATCACCCGGGGATACAACCTCTGGGTATTCCTGTGAGAAACGATCTAGATTAGGTCAGCTTCTGATCACGCCTTTCAGACTGATACAAGTTTCCCACCCTCCTCCTCTTCAGACTGTCTTTCTACATAGCCACTAAGAGTTGCCCACTAACTGCACAGGTCCTGGACCACACTCCAGCCTGAAAACTACACATGGCAGAAGAGTTATTCTCCAAAGGAAAGCCATTGATGATGCATTTTCAGTTGCCAGTATTAATTGGATTGCTTTCATGACATTGCTTCCTGTGTCAAATGTGCAATTTGCTTCAACCTTTTACTGACCTTGCAGGTTACTGATGCTCATTTTCAGCATTATGCATCTAAAAACAAATAATTTTTGGACTTTTGTTCTTAAACAAAAAGATAGTTCTTAGACCTCAGGAAATCCTCTGCCTCTGCCTGCTAAGTACTAGGATTATAGATGCAAGCCACCATGCCCAACATAGTTTGATAAATGTTTAAGGGACTTTGTTTTTTCATATGTGTATATATATATATGTGTGTGTATACATCTATAAGTGTATTGTCACATGTATGCAATTGCCTGTGGAAACTGGAAAAGTTTTGGATCCCCTTTGTTAGAGTCAGAGACAGTTCTGAGCTGCCCTGTGTAGGTGCTGGGAACCAAAACCAAATCTATCCTCTGGAAGAAGAGCAATCACTCTCAAGCACCAGATTGTGTCTTCAGGCACTTGATAAACCTTTTTATAACTCTTGGTATGGATTTTGATTTTTGTCTGTTTCTAGTGTTGTTACTGAGATGATAATATGGTTTTCTTTTTTATGTTGATATGATACAATCACAGTCATTAAAACATATTAGGCCAGCATTTCAGTGCTTGACTAAGCCTTCAATTTGTCATGAGGCACTATCATTTTTATAAATTGCTGCACTCAGTATACTACTTTTTTATGGTTTTTCAAGATAGAGTTTCTGTGTGTAACAGTTCTGTCTGTCCTGGAACTTCCTTTGTAGACCAGGCTAATCTTGAACTCACAGAGATCCTCCTATCTCTGCCTCCTGAGTGCTGGGATTAAAGGTGTGCACCACCATTGCACTTGTATGTAGGTACGCCACTTGCTTGCCTGGTGCCCAAAGAGGTCAGAAGAAAGTATCATATCCTGAAGAGGAACACACCAGAGGAAGTGGAACACAAATCAAATCATCCCACACTAGCTCCGAATAGAGTATAATAAGGGGTTCTTTATTAAAGGAGAACTCATTGATCACAACGAGGAAAAGGAACAGAATCCAATATCCAGATGTGATAAGTCGGGAGAGTGAGCAGAAGGACCCTCACACATTTTGGTACCCAAGGCCTCGCTCAACCTGGTCCAGCCTCTGAAAGGCCATTGGCAGAAGGAGTTGCCCATCACCTCCCCATTTTATCTAAATAAGAGAGTTCCAACCCCAATACAAAACTATATATAATGAGAACAGATATCAAGTATAAAAATTAGAATTATTGGGGCTGGAGAGATGGCTCAGTGGTTAAGAGAACTACCTGCTCTTCCAGAGGTCCTGAGTTCAATTCCTAGCAACCACATGGTTGCTCACAACCATCTACAATGAGATCTGGTACCCTCTTCTGACATGCAGGCAGACATGCAGGCAGAGAACTGTATAATTAATTAATAAATACACCTTTAAAAAATTAGAATTACAACCAACATGAACAATATTAAGCAATTTATTTTATTCTATCCTAAGGAGTCTAGGTCTTGTATTAGAAATGGCTTGGCTAAGTCATAAGAGGAAAATAACTACGACTATCTAATCTTCAACCCCATCAAAGGCCTGAAAAGGGAGATAATATTTCTTGAGTAGGAAGGAAGTGCCATGAAGCAGCTTCCAAAATGTGCAGTATATGAGAGAGACAACTGACTACCTGGGCAGTCACCCAAAGTCTCATTTGCAACATTGGGGCAACCAACTTTGGCTAAGGCCTAGAGTAACTGACAGACTATTTTTAGAAGCAGGAAAATTTTCAAAACTGTATTACCCTGTCTTAGCAAGGTTTGTCAGTCTTTTTTCTTGTATTCTACTTGTCCTGTCCAGATAATGCATTTTGTCAGTGACCGAGGCATGGGCAGTTCCTTGCCCAAAGGTCAGTTTTTCCAGGAAGAAACAAGCTCCAAGTGGAGTATCTTCAGTGCTCAACATTCTCTCAGAAATAGATCAGTGCTGTCAGGAGCAATTGTGTCTCACATCAGCTGAATCCTAAGTTATTTAAATGCCATATTCTACAGTTCTTTGAAGTGGTTGCAGATTACCTACCTATGCAGAATACCATCTCTATGTATCTAAAGAACCTGATTAATCTAACTACAAGTATGACAAACATGGGTGACTATTGACCTATACAATACTTAATGCCTATATAACTTAAAGAATAAGACTTCATATTAGAATATTAAACAATCTTTAAACAGCTGTGTAGCAAATGAGGACAATGACCTCTAAATGTAAACAATGTCTAAGTATCTTTTTTATATTAAAAATTTCTTTTTTTTATTAATTTTATTGAGCTATACATTTTTCTCTGGTCCCCTTCTTTCTTCTCCCCTCCCCTTCAATCCTCTCCCATGGTCCCCATGCTCCCAATTTACTCAGGAGATCTTGTCTTTTTCTACTTCTCATGTAGATTAGATTTATGTATGCCTCTCTTAGGGTCCTTATTCTTGTCTAGGTTCTCTGGGATTGTGATTTGTAGGATGGTATTCTTTGTTTAAAAACCACTTATGAGTGAGTACATATGATAATTGTCTTTCTGGATCTGGGTTACCTCACTCAATATGATGTTTTTAGATCCATCCATTTGCCGACAAATTTCAAGATGTCATTATTTTTTTCCTATTATGTGATAAGTATCTTGATTAGAGGTAGAAATGAGCCATTATGTTCAAGACAGCGGGTTGTGGCAGGGAACCTAAGCCCTGGCAGGTGGGCTGCAAGCAGGCTAGAAATGTGCCGAGGCTGGCAACCCAGGAGCACAGTTGCAGGGGCAGGGGAGTGTCTCGGTAAGCATGGACTTGTTCCCACGTTGGGCAGCAGCTGAAAAGGAACACACCTACAGAGGAAAGGGAACGCGAATCAAATCATCCCTCACTAGCTTCCAAATAAGGTATAATAAGGAGCTCTTCTTTATTAAAGGAGAACTCAGGGATCACAATGAGGAACAGGAACATAATCTACATCCAGGTGTGGCGAGAGGGGAGAGAGAGCACAAGCACTTTTTGGTACCCAAGGTCACGCCTCTCAAGGCCATTGACTAAAGGAGGTTCCCATCAATATTCCCTCGATCTGGAGTTATGGGTGGTTGTGAGCCTTCATGTAGATACTGTGAGCCAAACCCAGGTTCTCTGAAAGAGCAACAAGTGCCATTAACTGCTAAGCTATCTCTCTAACCCCCAACAGTGTTATTCTTTTATTCTCTACTCATTTGTGTGTTAAGTACTGGAAACTAAACCTAGGGCCTCCATGTGCTAGAAAAGCTAGGCAAGTACTCTACCACTGAGCTATATCACAACACTTTTTTTTTAAATTTTTGGTGTTTTGAGACAGTGTCTTGCCAAATTACCAAAGGTAGCCTTTAACTCACTCTGTAGTCCAAGAAAGACTTATCCTTCTGACTTAGTCCTGAGGAAATAAAATAAGGCTTACACCACCAGCCCCCGATACTCTACTACTTTTTAAAACTTAATTGTTCTACTCTCTTCTGATAAGTGTCCATGCCTCACATATGCAGTAGGTGTCTTTATGTTTCCTTTATCTCTATCTGGTTTTGTTTCATGTATTTTGAAGCCCTATTGGTAGGTCTATGCACATTTAGAGTTATTACTTCTTTTGGTGGGCTACCTATTTGTAATTGTGTTGTGTCTCTTTTTCTCAACAGTCTTAATACTTCCCCTTCAGTGTAAGCTGTCCAAATTCATGACCTGGAAGTATTCCATCTCACATTCCTGAGTTACATATCTTAATCTAATTTAGTCAGAAAATCTAGTAGTTTATATGCTTCTAAAAACAGATCTATTGAACTTAGAACAAGTTGAGAACTGCATGACTAAAGCACACAACCCCCACGTACAAGGCCGTCTCACATCACCAAAAAGGAGAAGTTTTAGAAAGTGTTCTGTGAACTAGTTTAGTGAGTGTGTTGAAATGGTATATGGTGCCTTCTGCTGAGTTTTCCTCTACATTTGAAGGAACTCTAGCCTGTTTCCTTCTTTATACTTCCTCAGCACTAACCTTTCCCCATAAGAAATAATTATCACAGTGACACTCCCAATCCTTATCTCTCTCTCTCTCTCTCTTTCTCTCTCTCTCCCCTCTCTCTCTCTGTCTCTCTCTGTCTCTCCCTCTGTGTGTGTGTCTCCTCTCTCTTCTCTCTCTGTCTCTCCTTTCTCTTTCCCTCTCTCTGTCTCTGTCTGTCTCTCTGTGTGTGGCTCTCTCTCTCTCTCTCTCTGTCTGTCTCTGTCTGTCTGTTTCTGTCTCTGTCTCTCTCTGTGTGTCGCTCTCTCTGTCTCTCTCTCTCTCTGTCTCTCTCTCTCTCTCTCTCTCTCTCTCTCTCTCTCTCTCTCTCTCTC